ATTATTCACAATTTCAATACAGTACTTACGTTCGTTTCCAACACATTCATGTCTATACATATATACATTCAGTACTAAGGAAAAACAATAAGCAACCAACAACTATCTACTCCATGAATGAGGCAACTCGGCCTTCCAGAACCATACCCATCATAACCCATAATATACACAGATATACTGAGACAATAATGATAAACAAGTTCCGCTCTACCGGCCTTAAGTACGGTACGCCAAGGATACACTTTTCCATAATAAAATGCCAAGTCAAGGATACACTTTTCCATAATAAAATGCCATGTCAAGGATACACATTTCCATAATAAATGCCAATATATCAGACTCAGGCTGGAAGGTAATGGTACCTCTATCAAGTTCTCCAGGTGCTAGCTGGAAGGTGCTGGTACCTCTCATTCTAAGCGTGGCCAATTCTCCAAGCGTTAGCTGGAAGGTAATGGTACCTCTCATTCGAAGCACAAGCACATTCCCAACCATCTCAACATACTAGAATGCATAATAACACAAGTATAATACATACATGATATTACTCAACACATGATTACACATGAAGCACATCCCTTTTTTCCTCCTAATTAATCATACATATACAATGTAAATAGACATAGTCATATTCAATGACAACCAACGAAGGATTTATTTCAATTCACCTAGTCCACATGCAATTTCTAAAACAGTCATAGCTATCCTCCACTGATAGCCCAAAACATATATTTCTAAACATATATACAATCTCCAAATAATAGATAAACTATCCATCTTTTCATAGGTAAGAGATTACAAATATCCAACTCCACCATTTATATTCATATCTATCCATTCCTACATCTCATACGAAAGGAAAACACAAATCCAATTCTCGGAAGACTTTCAGTCCAATAACAATGATAATATGTAAAGGTTTCAAAATTCGACCTCAAGTTCATTATCAATTTACAAAGGGTGATGATTTCATTTTCTTTCAAAAAGACCACTTTTCTATATTTTCCAATCCACACAATTCCAACCATTTTCTAAGAATTCATTCTCATCATTTTATAAAACCAAAACCAAACCCATCCTTTTTATTTTACAAAACCAATTTCATTGGTATTAAAACCATAACTCAACTCAATTTCACGTGATTAGTCTAAAACAATACCAACACCGTGGTTACTTCTCCTTTTATTTCCTTTTGATAAAAACACAATCATACAACCCATATTATCAAAATACAAGGATTATTCAACTTCCACCATTTTAAATCCATTAAATCAATAATATTAAATTAGGGCTTTCCTCACTTTCTTCACAAACATAATAAATCATCTCCCAAATATCCCAACAACAAACAACTAAACAACTCTAATCACAAATATCAAACCCTAGATCCCCTTTCATGACTTTCAAGAAAATCCATAATGAATATGGTTCTTATGCAATAAAATCTACCACATATATCTATCTATAGACGAAGTATTGGAAAGGAGCAAAGAAATCCTTACCTCTTGAAGCAAAGAGAAAACAACCCAAAAGTTATTAGTAACGAAATCATGAACTACTTTGATCAATAGAAAGCCCTTGACAAGATCTACAACCTTCCCAAAGGACCAAGGTGAAAAGATGGCTCTAGGTGAGTAGATTTAGAGATTTAAGTGAAAAAAGTTTGAGTTTTAGAGAGAGAGAAGAGAACTCACGGTTTAAAGGGAAGAAGGAAAGGAAGATAATGAGGGAAAAGTGGTTTGGGCCTATTTATAGTAGTAGCAAATAGCCCTAAGGTCAAATAAAATAATAGGCCCAAAAACCCACCAAGGGTAAGGCCCATTCGAACCCCAAAATTCTAAAAAAAATATGCAGGGGTCGACCCTTCTGGCAGGGGGGTCGACCCTTTAGGTAGAAAAGACAATTTGGCACAAGCAAAGGGGGTCGACCCTTAGACAGGAGGGGGTCGACCCTAATTTCCAGCAACTAACACACAGACTCTACAATATAAGAGGGTCAACCCTTTCTAAATTAGTGTCGACCCTATATTCCAGCAATATTTCCAGAAACTTCACCAGCAGGTAAGGGTTGACCCTTAGGAAGGGTGGTGTCGACCCTAAAATAGAATTTCTAAGTCTCCAAGGAACTTTTGACAAAAATAAGTGCGAACAACCAAACCCAATAAGTTTAAATCGGATTATACTCCTCCAAAACCAACATACAATAACACCAAAGATTTCCAAAATAAAAAAATAAAGGATTCAAATACACTTTTCAAATGTTTTAAAAGGGTATAAGTGCTACATGTTGTAATCCAAACAGTTCATGAAGAAGAGCAGTATGTTCAAGCTAAAAATACCCATTTGAAACACAACCACTTCGATAGAGGCGGCTCTTTTCCTTTCCAGATCTCAGATTACAACTACTGAACCATGCCTTGTATTATATATATATACACACACACATTATATGATATTGATGAAAAAGAATGATGAAAAACGTAGTAGTGCTAAAGCGGCATCACCAATTGGGAGATGCGATGAGCGGCATTTTCCACACGAGATTTCTGACTCTCATTTTTCTCAAATTTTACATCTTCAACTCCATTCTTGTCTTATTTTCTTGCATTTTCCATATCTATATATATTAGTCTATGTTTCTTACTTTCTTCTTAAATACATTATTCTTCTTTCAACTTGGAATTAAGATTTCACTGTTTATCAACAAGTTTGAATTTCAATTTGGAACCTTTGTGCAAATTGTTCCTTATTGAAAATTTTATAAGCACTTAATCTGAAGATGTTTTAGAGATCAATGGGTGACAAGTATGTAGAATTAAATTATTGAATTGTTTGTAAAGATGAAAAAGATGAAGATGGAGAGGGAGAGAAGGAGAAGATGAAGATGGAGAGAGAAAGAACTGGGTTGGGTTTCCACTGAAATAATAAATATATATATGATGGTATAATTGTCAATTTACAACTTCTGTTAATAGAAATTAGTGTGCGTTTTAGTCTATCAACTATAGGGGGTTATGTGGTGATATTTGAATGTCAGGGGGGTAAACCGCACCCATCCCAAACCATAAGGGGGTAAAGTGAAGTTGTTTCCCAAAAAAAAAAAAAAATAGTATAGTTTAGTTTGGTGTTAAACTTTATCTGAATATTGACTATTTGCTACAATTTGGTTTGTAGGTTTGGTGTAAATGAGGGACTTACATGAAATTTTAAGATGTAAAAATTTGTATAATTTCATATTGAAAATAAGTAAAGAAAAAATATAAAAGTTTCTCTATAAATATTTAATTCTCCAATTTTTATCACGAAAAAAAGTATTATAGTAGCACTACAAGAAATTAAAATTTTAGAGACAAATTTTTAAAGGCAAAAATAATTTATCTATAAAAATTATACTTTTAAAAACAAAATAAAATAATTAAAAAAATATATATATTTAATCATACTGCTATATTTTAAGAGTAATGTTAGGAATCATGAAAAAAATGTCATGAAGATGATCAGGAAATATTCTTCATCTTTGGATTACACATACAATAAACACTACATACTAATTAAAAAATAAAAAATCTTCATAATATATTTTATGATATTTTTTTTTTTTATAATCCCTAATATTACTCATATTTTAAAGACAAACCTATTTGATTGATAAAAAGTTGGATTATTTACCAATAAATCCCACTTCACAAACTGTTATACCAATTAGTCCCACTTTTATTCTTTTGTTTCATTTAGTCCTGCTGGTGGGGAGATTTGGTCCTTTTCGATTTTATTTTCCATTTTTGGTTTCACTATGTGGACGTTTGTGCCCTTGTGGTAATTGGGAAGTGTTTTGCAGGACCATTTCTTGTTTGGAAACATTGCAGTTTTTGTTTGGCTAATTTGAATGATACATTCAAATACATTTCAGTCATTGACAATTAGAGTTTTGTGAATTTGAATATGGTGTTTTTGGTGTCAGCTGTGTGACACACTGGTTGGTTGTGTATATGGGATAAGCAACAAAAAAAATTGTGTCAGTTGGACAGTGATGGTTGGGACCACGTATAGTGGTAAACAATGATTCCTTTGTAGGATTAGGTATGTGTGGGTATGTGTGGGTTGGGCTTTATATATTGTTTACACTGCAGGGACATTAAAGGGATATGTTTTTGGTTTATGTGTGTCTGGTGTGGTAGTTTTGTTGAGTTCATGGGCCATGGTTTGACAATGTGACAATGGGGTAATTGAATTTGTTTGGGTTTTTTTATTGTTTTTTTTGTGTTGTTGGTTTGTGAGGTGGTGTGTATGTGTATGGGAATTAGCTGGCAAATAAGTTGTGATAGTGGGACATTGATTGTGGAGGCCACATATAGTGGTAAACAATGATTTCGTAGTGTATATTGTGGGCTGGTTGGTTATGTATATGTGAATAAGTGCTCTAATTGGTTGTGTTAGTGTGACATGGATGGTTAATTGGGTTGTGTGCCTTGTGTCAACTACCAAACACACCAGTTAAGCCCAAAACCTCCTTATGCGCTTTGACTTTTTGTGACACCCCCTCTATGTATCACGTGTCACACACCACACATCCCTTTCTTATTTACCCGCGTGTGACACACGCACCTAACCCAAAGCCCACTAACCCATCTGTAACTGATCTACTAACATGTAAATGAGGACATTAACATCTTTCAAACAACCCTAGAACTAAATGGTTCATTAGAAAAAAAGTGGGATAAATTAGATTATAAGATCAAATTTTAAGATTTATTAGTAAATCTCCCTAAAAAGTTATTGTAAAAAGATTAATAACTTTTTATCAACAACTTTAATTGGTCCCAATATTAATTTGTTTTATTTTCATTGTTTTGATTCATTCTCCACTCCACGCCACACTGCACACTCTCTCTCTCTCTCTCGATCGATCGATCGATCGATCGGATCGATCGATTGAATCCCTGATGCTGTTTGGTTGGAATTTGACGAGTTACTTGGAAAAAGAAATAAAAAGGTACCTATTTATATTTCGATTTTAAGGTAAAATATTTGTAACCATAAACTTATGAATGTTTACAGGAACACATTCTACAATGAGCTTTAACTATGTTTTGTTATGGTTTTGCTCCGTCAAATTCCTTACAAACTGTTGATCTCTCTCTTTCTGTGTGTTTTGTTTTGTGTTTTTCTCTTGCGATTGTGGCTATTGAGTTGGATCTGGTTCCATTCTCTAGCATTTGATCTCCTTCCCAATTTTACTTGAATATTCAGAATGTTTGAATAATTGATATTTGTTTCATTCAATAGATCTGATGAATCTTAGGATATTAATATGATTGGATTTTAAAGCAATATCTTGCTATATCACAAAATTTTTTATTTTATTTTTTTACAGATTGTTAATATGTGGTACAATGCTGAAAAGACTATTGGGATCAACTCATTATTAAAACTACTCGATTATTGTATGCATATAAGTTGTTTGATGAAATGCGTATATGAGTTGTCCATTTGGACCTATTATATGGTCTCTGAAAGTTCATATTAGGTCATTTGGCACTGGTCATGGCTCTTTTCCTAATCCTTTTGATGGGTAGGAGATGCGTGGTGATGATGATATGCATTCTTTCTTTGTTTAATATGTGTGAACTGAAACTGTGATTATGATTCCACTTTGATGAACCTTGTTAGTATTGTTTGTGCGTTCATGAAAGACAGCATTTTGTGCAGTGAGCATTGGGAAATTTTATGAATTGGAGTGCAGTATATGCACAACATTGTGGCATTTTGGGCCTCGAGGGTATATCTTAGCTAATTCGAGAAGACTATGTGACATTACATACAAGATGGTTATAATAAAAATGAAATTACCAAACACATTAAAGGTCAATTTTCTTTATTTTTTATTGTAATCTTTAGTGAACTTTATTAAAATTTGGTGTATTTTTTTTTTTAATTTTTATTTTAAGACATTCTAATCTAGAAGGATCTAAAATTAAACAATATCAAAAGAAATTTAAAAATTCACAAATAAAAAGAAATTGAAAAAATAATGTGACTAATTCCCAAACGGCCACAACAAGTGGATACTACTAGCTATTGGCATGGATATCTTAAATTTGTTTGCCAAAATGAAAGCAGATTTTGATCCTATTAATTACATGAATGAAAATGAAAATCTCTGTTTAAAATAGAGGTTTTCTTAAGCTATTAAAGTGCAAAACTATTCTCACCTTTTCTTTTAAACATAACACAAACAAAGTAATAAGCTATTAACATTTTTATTAGTGAAGCTTTCTAGTAATTCTGGCCAGTTAGAGGTTTTTGTCCTGTTTGCATGTTTGTGGGTTTTTTTAAGTTTCCAAGTTGATTGTCATAGTTCAAGTGTGTCTGGCTTAGGTTTGTTTTTTTGATTTTTTTTTTTTTTGAAGTTTTATGAACTACCTCCTTTTGATCTCTGCCTGGGAGTGAGTGGGAGTGGGTTGGGTTGGTTCTGTTTGGGTTAAACTTGTTGGATAGTTTGACCTATATTGTTGTGCTCATTTCCTAGTAACTTAAAGCCATTTTCATTTTGCGGCATTCTGATCTGCCATTTGAGATTATATAAAGCCAAATTTCTCCTGCCTGCTTCAACCTTACAATCTCCTCTGTATAACATGCCATGTACTAGTTTACATCATGATGTTTCTTTTTCTTTGGAATCCCTGACTTGCTCCTAAATGCTTATGTGGAAATCATTTTAGTTTTATTTTGATTGTCTCTTTTTATCGTAGATGTAGAGTTTTGCAGTATAAATGAGACAACTTTAAATTTCTTCTTCAGCCCATTGAAGCTCTGATTTCAGGCAGGTTCTGGCTAGGTACATACATGGTGAATTGACTCAACAGTCAACACTCCTTTGTGCACTCCAAACCATTTTTGCCACCCCTACATGGATGAGGGAACATACATAAAACACTGGATGGATTACACAAATTAACTGGGTTTTCATAAAAACCCTAATATGTGTTCACAAGATTAATATAAATTCGTAACAATATTAATAATACTAATATGTGTTCAAAGGGTTTTTTTACATGTGTAGTACAAAAATATTGTTTGCTGTTTCCTGCACTTTTAGATGTCTGTGAACTATTTTATTTGATGTTCTTTGCTTGAGTGAAGTCATTTTGCTTGATAATTTGTGTCTAGGTTGGAAATGCTGAAGCTTTAAATTGTTATTACGCACATGGAGAGCAGAATCCAAATTTTCAGAGGCGTAGCTATTGGATGTTGGATCAGTGAGTGCACTTTGCGTTTCTTAGCTGACAGTTATTTTTTATTCATTAAAGCTTGTTTTCCGAAACCATTGTTTCAGAGGGTAGTAGTTGTAAGAGTTGAGATCAAACTCACAGTATCAGTCAATACTATACTTGCCTATAATTTTTCTACACTCTGTAGTCTTTATATGTGTAATAAATAACAGATAACAATTATTTTTGTTACTTATCTCAGAGTTAATTCACTTATTCTCCCCCCTCCAATTTCATTTCATTTTTTTTTCTTCCTTTTACTTTTATTTATCTATTTATTTATTTATTTGGGATTTTGGCAGGGCACATGAGCACATTGTTCTTCATTATAGAGATATTAATGAGGTAAGTTCCTGACAAGGTAGATCTCGTGACAATTATACTCGCTTGTACCTCATAATGTCCTTGCCATTACCTTTTAACCTAGTTTTTCATCACAAAAATGCTAATTCTTCTTTATTCCGGTTGGTTTGGGATGTTCTAAAAAAGTGTACTTTTTGACTTATTGGCTTATATGGGTTGGGTTTGGGTTGGGTTTGATGTCATGCGTTAGAGAGGTGATTTGATTTAAATAAGATGATGTGACTTAAATAAGATAGTGACTTTTTGACTTTTTGTATTATTTAGTTTACGCCAAACCCCATGGCTTAAATTGTTCATTGTAAGTAGTGTTTTTTGTATTTCATTCTTGCACTCTGTTTTAAACTTCCTGGTCCATAAATTAACCGTCTTCATTGGAGACTTAATAATTTATGTGTAAAAGATTTTTGGTAACTGCTTCTTGACCATTAATGTAATATGGCCAAGATGGATTGGTCTGTAAATCATTATTGAATGGGCACTTAAAATTGCCACTCTTCCCGTGGACATAACTTTAGCATTGCTATATATATATATATATATATAATACTCTATTGATGAAATTATGAACAGCAAGAAGCAATGTTCTGTTCCTCTGCAGTCTACTAACTTTCCCTTTTTGTTTTGCCTGTTCTTTTTTTTTCTTTACTTATTTCATTTGTAGTAACAATATTTGTGTCTGCAACTGTTCCAGCACAATGATGCATATTCTGCCACTAAAGCTGAAGGAGAGGCGCTGGTCATCAAGTCAAATGGTAGTAATGGGCTTCTAACATGCTGCATCTGTCCTAGCAGCATTTTCTGTCCTGGTGATAAATTGCTTGTTCCATCATTGGTATCTGCTGCGAGGGCAGGGAAATCGAAGGTAACCAAGTTTTTTGTCCATTTAATTTCTCATGTTGTGACTGCCTTACATATTGGTTTTATAATGTTCTAGAAATTCATGTGTTTCATTCAATATCAAGTTGGTGGATAGCTAGGTTCTTAATCATTTGAAGCCATATAATTAATAAATGACATAATGTACCTGTTCTTTCACGTAGGGCATGAAAAATTGAGTATTTGTGCTGCATACATTCTCTCTTTCTGTAAAACACTAAACCAGTTACTAACTGAAAACATTTGTATTTCATATGTTTTTGTGATCTTACTTTTCAATTTTTATTGGTATTGTCCTTTGTACACTCTTGAATTCTAACATTTATTTTGCCAGTAGTTTGGTAGTCGTACCACCTCCAAAGGAGAGGTGCATAATTATGTGTGCACAGATATCTAACTTACAAAGAAAAAAAAGGAAAGAAAAGAAAAGAATTTAACATTCGTTTTCTTTGTTTTTATTTAAAATGAGCAGTTTCTCATTGGTAATGGCAAGAACATGTACGATTTCACTTATGTTGAAAACGTGGCACATGCCCACATATGTGCTGAACGAGCTCTTGCATCGTAGGCGACAGTTGCAGAGAGAACTGCAGGGGAGGTCATATTTAAATTCATTTTTTAAGTTCTGCAACAGGTAGGAAATTATTTAGTTACTGAACCGAATTTTAGCTGTGCCAATGTCTAATTCTCTCTCTCTCTCTCTCTCTATATATATATATATATGTATATATAAGTAGAGCAATTTATTAATAATAAAAAGGAACATGGCATAGTCAAGCTTTTTTATGTAATTTGCCCATAAGTTGGTCAATGACATTTTTTGAATTTGAAGGGCTTTAATTCACAAATTTACAATATCATGTTGGTTTTGCAGGCATATTTTGTAACTAATATGGCGCTAATCAAGTTTTGAGAGTTTGGTTCACTTGTTCTTGAAGGTCTTGGCTATGAATGGTACTCTCATCTTCTTGAAGGGCCTAAACTAATTATAAAACCTGTGTAGGCAGCTTTGTCCCAAGTTTCCTAAGTTGTCCTATATTAGAAGAAGGTAATTTAGTGTATTGAAGCATTTTTGTATAGTCTATTATCACTATTATTTACTCTGTACGTAAATATATGCTTGCTTTGGCTTTAAATGTCTACATGTTATATTTCCTTTACTTTGTCTCATTGTCTTGCTAATGTTGTGGTTATGATGTGACAGATTGAAATTTGAATGTGCACTTTGAAGGCTTGGGAGCTCTTTGCGAGATTTTCAATGACATTTCAATGAAGCCCTTGAGAAGATGGGATGGATGAGTTGTTCTGTTTTGTAGGTAGATATAATTACAATTTACAACATATTCATTGAATAGTTGAATGCTACAAACAATGCTTATGACACTAGCCTTATAAATTGGAAATTATCATCTCTATCAGTTTATGATATACAATCAAATATTACGTATTAATGAATCAAAGCATGGTATTTGTTTGTTATTGAAATATCTTTTGATTAAGCCTTTTTGAATGCGATGAGCATGGTGTTTGTTTGTTTGTTTGTTTGTTTGTTTTTTGGTGTTGTTGAATTTTAATTTGGAGATAAACTAATGATCTGGTGATATGTTTGATATTTTCTGTTTGGTTGCTAAGAAGTCAAGGAATATGAGTTTTTGTTGAAACTAGTATTTTTAGAGTAACTATTACAAAATCAAAAAGCAAAAAAAATATATATATATATATATTATCAAATTTTTAGAGGCCAATTTTAGTTGTTTGAAAAAAAACATTATAACTTTTGCAGATCACTTTTAGTTGTCTAGAAAACTAAGGTTGAGTTTGGTAAAGTTTTGTAAATATGATTTGAGAATATGAGTTGTATTTTGAGTTTGTGAGTTTTGGAATTATGATTTGAGTATAGAAAATTTATTTGGTGAATGAGTTTTGAAAAGAGTTTTTGAATTGGGTGATGTGACATAATTTTTATACAAAAGCCTACAACTCATAACCAAACACAATTTAAAATTCTATTCAAAATTCATAAAAAATTAAAAAAAAAAATTGAAAATATTTTTTATTTAACATATAAAAATAACAAGCGCAAAAAAATAAAAAAATAAAAAAAAAAAATAAAAAATTTCAAGAACACTGTTCCGATCAACCGGCCGGACGTCCGGGAGACATCTGGGTACACGATTTTTCAAACGCGGGTGTGGAAATGTGTTTTGAAAATCGTAAACAAACGCCGCACTCGATACTGAATGTAGAAATGTGTTTTGAAAGCTGTACCAAACACAACCTTAAATTTTTTTATAATTTGATGTGAAGTTTACGAGAGAAAAAATTAAATAATTATAAATTTAATATCACATTTTATTTTATTAACTATTTTAACATATTTTATCACCTAATACTTTTAGCTCAAAAAATCAAAAAAGTTTCTTTCTAAACGCTCCCAATCTAAAACCTCACTTTATTAAAAAAAAAAATTGAAAATATTTTTTATTTAACATATAAAAATAACAAGCGCAAAAAATAAAAAAATAAAAAAAAAAAATAAAAAATTTCAAGAACACTGTTCCGATCAACCGGCCGGACGTCCGGGAGACATCTGAGTACACGATTTTTCAAACGCGGGTGTGGAAATGTGTTTTGAAAACCGTAAACAAACATGAAGTTAGAATGTGTGGGTAGAAAACTATTTCCAAAATCGTTCCAAGCAGAGCCTAAAACTTTTAGACACAACTTCCACTAGTCTAAAAAACTAAGGCCTTGTTTGGTTTATTTTTGAGAAATAAATTTTGAAGAAAATTTTTTAAAATTTTGTTTGGTTTAGTGATTTTGGAAAAAAAATTCAAAATCACTTTCTATCTCTTGCACATCAATCAATCACTTTTTCTTTTTTTTTCTCCTCTCTCATTTTCATTCATTTTTTCTCTCACACACAACTATTCAACCACAACAAAATATCAAATCATTCCAAACTCCCACACTCCAAAATTATTTCCAAAATATATAACCAAACAACCCAAATTTTTTTTTAAATTCTTTATCCAAGATTTTTTTTTGAAAATTTATCTCCCAAAACCAAACTAAACACACCCTAAAACTTTTAGAGACCAATTTGGGTTGTCTCAATAAATACTTTGGCTGTCGTAGGTTGTAATAGACTTTTAGAGACAAATTTTGATGGTCTCAAAATCAAAACTTTTTACAACCACATATTTTGTCTCTAAAAATCTGTTTATAGTGACATGCAAAATTTTGTTTCTGAAAGTCAATTTTTGACTTTTTCGAACGGACCATTTGGGACGAACTTCGCGACGAACAAAATTAGTTGGTTAAAGTTTTTTCTAACAAATATTACATTTTTAGGTATGAAATAAATTTGTTCCTAAAAGGTTGATTTCTTGTAGTGTAGTAACTTATCTTCTAATGTTCAAAGAATTTAAATATAAAAATATTTAAATATAATATATTGGTTGGATCAAATTGTATCAATGTAAAAATTTTCAAAACTAAAACAAGGAAAATGGTCTGGACCCCGGGGTGACCCCAGGCCCTAGTGGGCTCTGGATTGGTCAATTTCATTTTATTTTATTTATTTATTTATTTTTGTTTTGTTTTTTTTGATCCAATTACCAACCCCACGTGTGTGTGGGGGTGGTGGGGTAAGACTTTACTGGAAGTCTCAATCAAAGTCTCTAAAACAAATTGTACATTATGAAAAACAAGCCAAAAATCAAAATTTCACACTAAACAAGGCTTGATGTAAAGTGATTTTATTTTGTCAGCTCCTTAGATGATTTTTTAAATTTTTTTTTTTTTATTCATGGGGTCATTGGATAAAGAGGATTATTATTTTTATTTTTCTATTTTTATTTTATTACGTTTAGATAGATTTTTAAAATTTTAAAGGACTGACACATCTTGAAAAGGACAGTAACCATTTTATATCATTCCCTGAATAATTGTTTTACCCGAATGCTACATATAAATGCTTTGTTATTTCTACTTTTTTCTAAAGCCCATAATGTTGCATAGAAGATTGCCTCCCAAATAATTTTTTCCAACTTTCGATTTTTCAAACCAGTATAGCACAAGACCTTCTGAGGAAACAAGAACTGAGCATTTAATTTTCTTGAGTTCACCTTGTTAAAATCTCATTCTACACCGGTTCGTAATGCAAATAAGTCAAGTTTTAACACATTTCAAAAATAATTATATAAATAAGTCACACGTTTGCAAGCTTGTATTGTAGTCCTATCCACACTAGATGTGACGGTGTTTGGCAACAAATTTTTTTGGGTTTTTTCTGATTTTTTCCACTAAAAGACAGGTTTTGCAAAACGAAAAAAAAAAACAAATCCAAACAAAATATTACATCAAACCCTATAAACATTTCACTTTTTCTCTTACAAACATCACATGCAACCACAAAAAAATTCAACTATCTTCTCAAACACAAAAAAAAATTTCTCCAATAATATCTTACAACTAAAAAAACCTACATAAAAACCCACTTCCCAAACACCCACATAGACTAATGTTCTTCCAAATGAGACTCTTACTCAAAGCTTTGCTTCCATTTTCCTCTCCCTCATAAGGACTTGATAGTAAATTCATTGACCTCTCCCTCATATGGACTTGATAGTAAATTCCTTCCAAGTTACTTTGTAGCTCTTGATAGGCCAAAGATTCCATGATTGAGTCCGGATCCTCTAGAATGATGATTTTTTTTGGGGGTAAGGTTAAGGTTTGGGAGTTGAAAGCTGAAATGATTATTGTACCCACAACTTCTGTGGAATTAAATCTAGCCATCCAAAAAAAATCACTACGGGATCATTTTAGGAAAAATCACTCACCATGATTTTGATCTGTATATCCATATGGCAGAAGAACCTCAAAAATGCCTCCTTATGAGATTTCCCATCTACCCAAACATCATTCCAAAGGTTTGTCGAAGAACCACAGCCAACCTTAATTGATAACCCTCCCAGCAAGACATTCCAAAATTTCGAAAACAAGGCGATCTAAGGAGAGAATTGGCTTTCCATACCTTGGACAATTTTCACTGATCTGAACAGTTATGAAACTAAACAGCCATCTGGGTAATCCTATCTTTTCTACACATAATTTCTTTCCAGTCCAAACCTCCACCAATATTTATTTTTATTTTTATTTTTATTTGTAGTCATAGAGCTCCATCTTAAAATGATGTAATTTCCTTCATCTTCATTGTCACCCTTCAAAAAAAAAAATTCAAATTTTCTCAAGAGCCTTTGTCATAGTTGCAGGAATTCTGAATCAAGACATGTAATATATGGGCAAGTTCAATAATTTTGATTTAATCTCAGTAATTCTACCTTTCTCAACAACAGGTAGCCCGGTTTTTACGTCTTCTCCTAAAAGCGTTCCAAGATATAAGAGATGGTTCCTTGAACTGCCTCTTTCATGAATAACTCTGATAATCCAACTCCGCGTAATCGACTTTCTAGAAAGTTGATCTCTAAACCCGAAATCCATTCAAAGCATCTCAAGATCTCCTCTTTGCATTTATCAATTCCTCTTTCATGTTGAGATGTTCTTGCAATGGTTATCAATGACTCAGATTAGTGTAAGTTTTCTGAAGAAGATGACGAAGATTTCGATCTTCAATTCTGAGAAATCAACAATATTGACCATTTGTAGAAACCAACTGCCTTGGCATAAAATATTTTCGATGATATTACTTTCCACTCTGCTAAGCATCCCTCGGATTAGGGATATTCATTTTAGTCTGATCCTCAGGACTCATTCATACCTGTCCGAATGAGATGAATTTTATCCGACCTGACACTTATGTGGGGGTGGGAGTGGATTATATTTTGGTTACCAACAACGGGGATGGGGCGGGGGTGAGTATCGCTCCCCTCGATCCAAACCCGACCCGATATACATAATAACATATATGTATATATATATATATATATATATAAATGACGAAATCAATGTGGAAATATGAAATTGGTTTGAGAATCATGAAATTGGAGAAAATTGTGATTAGATGGTGTAATTGGATAATGAATCACTCACCTATGGAAATTGTGATAAATTATCTGTTGAGAAATTTCTTTATCTGTTTAGATATATCTATTTTGGGCTATCGGTGGAGGATAACCATGATTGTTGTAGACACTGCATGATGATTATGTGAATTGAAACTAATCAACTAGAATATGTCATTGAATATGATGGTTGGCGGGGAATAACAAACCCGCTTCGTGGCCATCCCTACCTCAAACATTCCAAGGAATAAGCTTCATTTTAATTAGAATAAATTACGCAAATGGTTCTTGTAGTTTACACGACATATCAATTTGGTCCCTATTGTTTTAATTTGCTTGATTTTGCCCCTTAATTTAACGGATTGTATCATATTGGTCTAATAAATAACAACCGTTAGGTTTGTTGGACGGAAACTCGAACAATGTGTCAATTTGATCTATATAATTTACATAAT